TTTTTCTTTCTTTCTCTCTCTCTTTCCTTCCTTCTCTCTCTCTCTCTCTCTTTCCCCCTACCTCCCTCCCTCCTTGCATTTCATATTCCTTCTGGGTGTTTTGTAGCGGGGTGCAGTGCTTAGTGAGCCAGCCATTCAGGTGAGACGAAAAGGGAAAGGCAAACAAATCTGGTCCCTGGACAAAATGGAGAACCGGTTGCTAGATATGCGAGACCTCTATCAAGAATGGAAAGACTGCGAGGAAGACAACCTGGTATGTGGGGGAGATGTGGGGACAAACCTTTCCTTCATTGGTGAAACATGACTTATCAGCTTAGTTTTCTCTATACGTGTTGTATTGCTATCTTATTTTCCTCAAATAACCTAACAGTCTTGGAAGTTGGAGTCAGTTTGGGCTCTTGGAGACTGCCTGGACAAGTTTTCTTGGCAAGATTTCAGGAGTGGTTTGCCATTGCCTGTTTCCTAGGACTGAGAGAGAGTGTCTGTCCCCAAGTCACCCAGCTATCTTGGTCCCTAAGGTGGGATTCACAGTCTCCCAGTTTCTAGCCTGATTCTCTAACCACTACACCAAACTGGATCCCAACAGCCTTGGATAGCATTAAATTAAATTCAGCACTCATGGAAGCTACATGTTGAGACCAGGAGGTAAAGGAACATGTATCCATATATGTGATCCTTAGAGAAGATTCTTGTTTCCCTACTATTTTTAAATTAAGTATGGGCTGAAAATCCTTAAAAGAGATTTTTTTTTTGCCCCAAAGTTGGGCAGGATGATGGCATTCAGAGAAAAACAAACAAACATCCTTTTGCTTTTGTATTGCTGGGAAGAAGCAGACTTGAAAACTGGGAACGCCTAGATTGTTTTGTTTTGTTTCTGCCTCTCCTGTGTTGTTGGCCACAATGCTTAAATCAAGTTATCCCCTGAGAATGATGCTGCATCTTGGCATTAGGTTTCTTTGAAGGTGAGAAAATGCCAAAGGTGGTTCCCATAAGCTTCAGCTTCACTCCAACCTTTAAAGGTGGCCATCCACTTACCCACCCAGCCATGCATGTAAACATGGTCAACTCAACCAGTGAGACAATGAACATGAAGTTGAGGGGAGAAGGATCAGCTTCACCACAGCATTTTTACTTATCTTTCATGTGACATGTTCAGTTTGCAAAGGAAATATTTACCCGTGGGTTATCTTGCCCCAAAGCCATATGAGGCAGTTTGTTATCTCTGTTGTACAAAGAGGACTATCCTAAATCATACCATGATTTTGTTTTATGAGAGAGTGTGCTTTTCCATAATTAATTGCTGCATCTTTGAAGTTCCAAAAATAATTACATAGACTGAACCAAAAAAACGTTATCTGTGGCTTTTAAATAGAGCCATTAGAAGGTTGAACATTTTTTCTTTTAACGAGGCAATTCTGCGGTGCTCCCGTGAACTCTTGTCTTTAAATAAATTTCAGTTATAACAACACAATAACACAGTAAAATAAGCCTTAAAGGAAATAACCCCGAGCCCTGCTTTTCTTCCTCTATTTTCTCTCTTCTCTCCATAGTCTACTGAGCAAAGTGAAAGGGGGTGGGGTGAATATCTTTTTCCTGGTCTGGCAACCTTTCAAGCTCTCAGGTAGATTCCCCCCCCCCCTTTACTCACTGCCTGAATAAGAGAAAGCAAAGCACCTGTATTTTGCACAGTTCAGAACAAGGGGTGAGAAAATATAGAGACCCCTCACATCCTGGAAATAAAGTGTTTCAACTCCTCCCCTCAAGATGCTGCTACAGGGCATTGCCAGCCAAAACAACTAGGACATAGGGACAGTATTTTCTATAGGCCACCACTCTGCTGAACACCCAATTCTCACAGTACTATCTATTGTCTATGTCAGTGGTTCCCAAACTTGGCAACTTTAAGACTTGTGGACTTCAACCACTGGTCTATGTATATTTACCCATGTTGTATAGCTGTAGTATTATTCTCCTCCTTATCTTCCTTAGTATCCTCATTTACTGGTGTTATCATGATGATGATTATTACTCTGTTGTTTGCATGTATACATGCAGGGTTGTGATTGGGCTAAGGCAAAAACAAATCACATGACTTAATGGTACATAGGCCTTCGGTAGGTCTTCCTGTGCAATGCTCACAGGTGATTAAATCAGCCTTCTCAACATGCTACCCTCCCTGAATTCCCCTCTAGCATGGATTTTTCTCTGGAAAGCCTATCATTGTGGAAAGCTGGATTAAACCATATTAGAATCACCATGTTAAGGTGACTGAAAATGAACTGGTAAGAAGGAGAATGGGTCTTTCTCACTTATTGAGATGTCTGTTACAAGGGAGAATATGATTTCCCCTGCCAAATTGAACTTAGGTCGTAAGATGATCTAATCATCATAGATGTTGGTTGTTCATTCTTTTTTCCCTTCTATTCAACTCAAGGTTATGAGGTCTTATTTTCGGCGAGCAGATCCCTTTTATGATGAGCAAAAGAACCACAGCCTCATTGGAGTCGCCAATGTCTTCCTGGAGTGTCTCTTTTATGATGTGAAGCTGCAGTATGCCGTGCCCATCATCAATCAGAAAGGAGAGGTATCGTTATCCAGTCTCATAATTACTCAGTTGCTTATTTAAGAATCACAGCTCTGTGCACAATTACTATTGATTCTCTATCTTTGGACATAGATGCCTCGAATATAGGCAGTTGCATTTAATTGCTTTTTAATTCTTCCTAATTTTCTTCCCAGTTTGCCCCTGAGTTTGTCTTGGAAGGAATTGATTTGATAATCATGTGAACTATATAAACAGGCATGACAAAGCTGATTTTTGAATCTGGGATAAGCCCTTCCCCTTCTCTACACTGATCTTCTATAGGACCCAAGTTGATCAGTGTTCAAGAAAACCAGAACTAGACACGACTACTGTGTTTCCCTGAAAATAAGACATGTCCTGAAAATAAGGCCATGCCAGATTTTTGGAGTGGACAAAAATATGAGCCTTTCCCTGAAAATAAGACATGTCCTGAAAATAAGGCCATGCCAGATTTTTGGAGTGGACAAAAATATGAGCCTTCCCCTGAAAATAAGACATGTCCTGAAAATAAGGCCATGCCAGATTTTTGGAGTGGACAAAAATATGAGCCTTCCCCTGAAAATAAGACATGTCCTGAAAATAAGGCCATGCCA